CTGTAATTCTTCAAATAATGAGAATGAGGCACATTATGCCTGCGGTCTGGTCCGTTCAAAATACCATATTTTTCAGTCTATAAGACGCCCCCATGTATAAGACACCCCCAACTTTTCTTACCCAAAATTCAGGAATCAATATTTTAAATAATATTATGCATCACACTTACCTCTGAGCCAATCACTTTATTCAGCCTCTGTTGCATCACTGGTTTCTGGCAAGAAATCCAAGTCTTAAGCCTCTGCTCTAAGTTTGGCCATTTTGCTGGTTTTCCTCTCAAGGCCTTCTTCTTTTTGGGCATCTTAAGGAGTTGCTCTTTCTGTTTTCTCCACTGTCTGATCATACACTCAGTGGGAGGAGGTCCAAATTGTCTCTCTGCAGCTCTATTTTCCATGTTCTTCTGCATAAGTGATTACATCCAGTTTAAATTTTGCAGATTAAGCCAGCCGCTTTACAGGTTGTTTTTCATTTTCACCGCTCTGGGCACTGACTACACACTCTCCCCAGCAACAGCTGACGTCAGGTACAAAAGATTTATGATTGGAGGAGAACTGTTATCTTGTCTCTGCAATCCGAAGTTTCACTCGTGAGGCTAGTTTGCAGTGGTATCAGCACTTTCAGCAGTTTCGAAACCGCGGCCCCCGTGTATAAGACCACCTCTATTTTTAGGTAAACATTTTTATAAAAAAGTAGCGTCTTATACACGGAAAAATACGGTGTTTGCAGCATTTTGTTCGGACCGAACCGCAGGCATAATGTGCCTTGCGTTCCCATGCGCCTGTTCACATTGTGGCCTGGAGGGTGTGGCTACGGTGCCATTAACTTCAATGGACCTCCACGCCCCCTCCTGCCCCACAAAAAAGTGAGCTGGCCGCGATGCAGTGCGTTCTGGCCAGAATTGGACCGCAACGCACTGCATCTGGTGTAAATGAGGCCTTAGGTTCAGAGTTTTATGGATACCCTTTTCGGCTTACTTATTAAAAATGCAGGCTTTCAAAGCAGCATGTTAGATTTTTTTTCTCATTAGGCACTATACAATTTTGAAGACGGTTTATGTATACAGTATATGTATTATTCATACGCATAGCAGCAGAATAAAATATGTTTCTCTTCGCCCCGGCACAAGTACTTAAACATTTTGGTAATTTTTATCATGATCTTTGGAGTGTCATAGGGAGAATCAATGTAGAGATATCAGCTTATCACCTCAGTAATATAGTACTGATGGTGAACATCAAATCATAAAAAGTGGTTGAGAAAGGGAATGTAAAACTGGCCTGTAGTCCAAACGGTTGGAAAGTTAATGTGCCACTACAAATTTAAATAAAGTTGTAATCTCTGACATATAAAGGTGCCCATACACTGCACGATTTTCGTACGAAAATCGTGGGAAATCACGCGATTGTACGATAATCGTGCAGTTTATGGAAGGCATGCGACCGTTTCTAATGTACGGTTGCACGACTTTTGTATTTCAAGCATGTCGGAAAACCAGCCGGGAATTGTACGATTTTCGGTTGGTTTTTAACATGATCGAGAGATAACAGCCGAACGGGCCGGTGTACGCACGCGCACACTGCCAGTTCAGCAAGCCCGCTTGCGATGATCGCAAGTAAGTTTTTTTAATTACTTAAGCCTTTCCTTCCAGCCTCTGATCGAAGATATACAGACAATCTGAAAGGACTCTTACCAGATCACGAGCAGGTTAGAAGTATGCCAGGACTTTTTATCTCTACCACCCAGCAATCCACCCTTTGAAGCAGAGGTTCGGCGTTAATAGAATATCACCCATTCATATTCAACCCGACGCTTTAGCATCCTTGTGAGGCTGTATCTGTCCCACGCCGGCTCAAAGACCAGGAATTGACCAATCACGTGACTGCTGATAAATCAGCTCTTGGTTTAACCATCTTTAGAATTGTATAATGCAGGGTGGAGAGTTTGCATCTCTAAAATGTACATAAAGACAAAACTTTATTCACTCACAAAGATGCATCTCTCCACTGCATGCAAATTTTCTTCTCTTAAAACACTGCAATCACAGAAAAACACCAGTTGATGTGCAAGAAATCTAGTAAGCTCATAAACTCTATTTAGGCTGACAACACAGTACATTTGCCACCCTGATAACCCAACTAGCGTTGTCAGCCCTGCCTGCTGGACTACAGAACTCCACCTGCACACCTACTCAGTAGTTTCCTACTACAATAAATGCAGGAGGTGGTTGAAAAAGTTTTCCTGACACCGTACATGGCAGCATACAATGGGTATGTCTCCGCCCCCAGCCCAATCACAGGACCAGTTATACTATAAATTAAAGCCCGCCTCCCAAGGTCACCATTCTTTTTTCTGTCCTCAATCAGATGGAGCCACAGATTAATCTTTGAGTTCGCTCTTCCACAGACTGCCATCCCTACGGATAGAATTCAGTGATGTACCTCCAGAGTTATTCTGGAAGGCAGTAACCTGCCATATGTTCCTGTCCCATTACAGGGTCTATCCAGGAGTATGATCTATGGGGAAGTTGGTTCTGAATGTGGTACGAATAATTTATTATCTCAGAATTACCCTCCCTGTTTGTGTGATCGCTATATCCCATTGTATGCTGCCATTTACGGTGTCAGGAAAACGGAAAATTGTATACTTACCTATCGGTAATTTTCCTTTCCTGATGCCAGTACATGGCAGCATACAGGACCCTCCCATGGCTTTCGCATTGAGTACTTGTTCTGAGAATGGTGGCCTTGGGAGGCGGGCTTTAATTTATAGTATAACTGGTCCTGTGATTGGGCTGGGGGCAGAGCCGTACCCATTGTATGCTGCCATGTACTGGCATCAGGAAAGGAAAATTACCGATAGGTAAGTAATAAGTATACAACTTTCCGTTGTTCGGCTGTCATACAGATTGCTGGATTACTGCAGAATGACATGACAAAAGTAGTAAGGACTCATCTCCTGACAAAATAAATAACTGTGTGGGCCAGCAGGACCTACTCATGAGGGATGGAGATGCTACTTCCATGGAACTTGTCGGAATAGTGCTTAATGAGCCCTTCCCTTGTGCATTATGGCAAGCTATCAAGCTACAGTGCAGTTCCCAGACAAACCCTGTGACCCATGAGGCACTATGGTTTAAAAAGGATCTAGCATTCAAATAACAGAGGGAGAGACCTATTTTCCAGTAATAAGGGTGAATGATGCAGCTGACTGCATTCCCAAGATAACTTGCTCTTTTCTTATTACAAGTGTGCCCCACTGAGAGCTTTCAATCTGCAAGTGCTGGTACACTGTCCCATAGCATAGCCTAGGCTGAGACTGTTGCTCTGGCTTAAGGATTTTGGTCACCCTAGTAAAGGAACACAATCAACAGGTAAATATAAAGCAAAAGAAAGGATGCACAGAAAAAAAAGAAAAGAAACGGAAGACTGCTAGTGGAGGGTAATATATCACATTGTGATTTTTTTACTTTATTTTTGGGTTTAGATTCACTTTAAGGTGCACCCACTTTTAATATGGCAATAGTAAGGAGGTTAGGTTGAGGAGTCTGATGTCACAGTGATGTTCTGAATGTTCTGAACAACAGCTGAGCCTACTGTACCCATCTACTCTTCTAGCAGTGCCATGGACGAACAGTGAAAACATTTATAACCACAAAGAAGCATGGAACCCTTGTGAAAAAAATGGAAGGAAATTTGTACTGACAGAAATTCCAGGGCTGCCATTGCGGATCCGCTTGCTTGTCTCTGGCTTCAGAAGCATGTCACTGACAGAACTAGATGAAGATGAGAAAATCATAGTGAACTCAGAACCCCTTATCTACGTACTTGCTCCAGCACAATACCTTTAGATGTGACTGATGCAATTAGATCAGCATGACAGCCAGGCAAGTGCCATCTTCAAGAGAGATCAGCACCAGATTATCTTACTACACTCTTTGTACAGGTTTCCTTTAATCTAGATCTGCTCCTAAAAATACACTGGATTATCCAGTTTATACCATGAGTAACTTTTATTATAATAAATTATTTGGTAAAACGTTTCACTTTTAAATCCTGAACCAGCTTACTGGAGCTTTAAATAGAAAAAATGGATAAAAATATAAATGCTACATTATAATGTATGCAACAGCTGCCGATGAATAACAAAGAAGTAATTAACATTTATGAGTGGCCCTCTTGGGTCCCAGGGTAGTCCTATTTTCTGCATCCACTATAGTTACCCTGACAACCACATACATCTGCCTACCACAGCCTATATCATAGCACTATGATTATTACTAATGAACAGTTCCAGGGTTTGTTCACACTGCTGTTAGTGAAGGGTGGCTGGCAGTACGTTTTGACACTTGCCAAATACGCTGTAGCAGCCTTGTTGTGTACTAAACCTCGAGTCTTTTCATGCCTCACATTTGGGGAGCAGGTTGTCACAACTGCCCAAATGCTACATGGAGCATTCAGGTAGCAGCTGCCTGCTTTGTATGGCAGTCCCAATTGGGTTTCCCTGCCAGAAGAGCGGTCCAGTAGGAGGCAAAATGGTCCCCAACACACTGCACCCAAGGTAGTGTGAGCAAGGCCTAAACATGCTGTTGTGCATCCATCTTTTTAGAACAGCTTCATGAATGCTGATTATCAGTCAACGCAGTGTGGGGTAGTGTAAGATGAGTACAGCTGGTGGGTGACCACACAGCTCGTTCCATCATTCACTTCGGTACATTGCGTGCTATGAAAACACAGTGCATTGGTGGTTTCTCATTATATTGTATTTACATGTACAAGTCATGTTAATATTTATATGATAAGACATTAAGAGGAAATATATTAAAAACGGGAGCAGACAAAATCTGCAGCTTCTATCTTTCATTTTCAAAGCTTAACTGAGCAAACTGATGATAGGAGCTGATTGGTTGCCATGGGTGATTGCTCCAGATTCTGCATGCTCCAGTCTTTTCATTTTACCATTTTTAATTGTAATACAAGAAAGAATAACAGACGTGTGTGTGTGTGCCACATTTGCTTTATTAAGCATCGCAGAAAGCAAAAATCACATTCAACCACATCAATAAAAACAGGTTACTTTCAAGTCTACATCATCTCAAAAGTGCCCTCGAGCAGAATCCAGTGCTTCATTTGTAAGTCTTCATGTGCCACAATCCATCATTTAAATAGTGAATATTTTCAATCCCAATGCCTTTATTGACCTTTTCACTGTAAAACAACACACAGGTTACCTATTCTTATACTACAGTACAGAGGATTGCTTGCTTGCTGTAGTGTAAATACACACAACTATGTCAGCAATGGTAGGGAAATACATTCAAAATAGAAACAGCCCATATTTGTAAAACTTGTACAGACTGAGGTATCTGAGAACTGAAAATGAACAAATACATGCAAAAGAACTCAAGAGGGATGCTTAAAAGGAGAACTATGGGGTCAGGTCTTTTCCCCATAGTTCTCCTTAGGGTAACGGGAGGACACAAACTAGCGTCCTCCCGTCACCCTAAGCTCAGTATACCGCGAACTACAGCTCGCGGTATACTGAGACGCCGCAGCTGAAGCGGATCCTGACAATTATGTCTGGATCCACCCAGCTGCGTGAGTGACAGCTGGCTCTGCCTATCTAGAAGCAGAGCCAGCTGTAGCCGCCCCCGTCCGTTCCGCCAGTCAGCGCTGGAGGATCGGAGCGGGGAGGGGGGAATCCAGCCCCTCCCCTGTCACGGCAGAGAGCTGTGACAGGATCGAGAAGTGAGCGAACGCCGGTATGTGTTCGCTCACTTCCCGATCTACTGAGCCGACCTGGTACAGTCTCATTGTCACAGGTCGGCTAGAACTATGAGGTGAGTGAAAAGCAATCGCCTCATAGTTCTCCTTTAAGCTAATCCTTGCCACTCAC